CAGTAGCTTTTGCATATTTATTTGTATGTATAGATGAGATGTTCGAAAATCTCACTAACTAATATGTCAAACATATACCAATTCAGACTGAAAATAAGTTTTTCCATTATATTTGTTTGAGGGCCTCTTGGAGGTTAAAAACTAAATTGCCCACATCTACAAAAACTTTATTTTTTCATTAGAATCGTTAACGGTTGATAAAGTATCTTGAAGGTTTACAACAAAAGATAATATTTCCTTCTCTAATGGCGCTTTCATACGGGTTTTTATCAAGACTGGGCCAGAGCCCAATATTTTTTCATCACACGATTGGGCTACCAAGTTATGCCAAATTTTATGTTACTAATATGTGTTCTAAACCAATCTGATCATAAATATGTTTTTTGTGATAGCTCTCAATCCCTGCGCCACCTATCGCAAGACAAACACACTGATCCTTCTAAAAACTTTTGCACAAAACAACAATCAATCATTCAATGCAATTTTAAAATCCATGGTTCCAAATTGAACGATTCTTACGATTTTATATGTGTATAAATATAGGTGTATAAAATTACATTGCCTTATTATAAGTGCTTCCAGAGAAAAGCAATTTGAGAATTTTAGTTTGTATGGCCGGTCCACGCCGCCCCTTCCAAAATCTACCACTCTTCGCCATAAGTACGGTATTGACCACATATGTTGCTGTGTCCAATTTCAGGACGTCAGCATAGGCGGTTCCAGAGATAAGCGATATGAGAATTTCAGTTTGTATTGGCGGTGCTACGCCCCCTTTTCCAAAATCGGGCATTCTTCAACGTAAGTACGGTATTCTTAACATATGTATGACGCTGTGTCAAATTTCAGGACGTTAGCATAGGCGGATCCAGAGATAAGCGATATGAGAATTTCAGTTTGTATGGGAGGTGCCACACTCCCTTTACCATTATGTACCACTTTTCGCCATAAGTACGTTATTGCAATCATAAATAGCTATGTCAAACTTCAGGACGTCAGCATAAGCGGTTCCAGAGATAAGCGATATGAGAATTTCAGTTTGTATGGGCGGTGCCACACCCCCCTTCCCATTATCTACCACTTTTCGCCATAAGTACGTTATTGATATCATTAATAGCTGTGTAAAATTTCAGGACGTTAGCGTAAGCGGTTCAAGAGATAAGCGGTATGAGAACTTCAGTTTGTATGGGCGGTGCCACGC